GTTACGATGGTTAAGCAGCTGATTGCCAAAAAGTCGGGCTAGGAGATTAGCTCCCGTTGGTGCCGTAGAGACAAACGCAACGAGTGTGATGAGCAGGTTCCCTATTACATGCATAGGAAATAAAGGGACCAAACGTTGTGGTCTTTGAAGACTCAGTTTTATAGCTGCAAAGATAGACAGCAGGGTTACTACAATAAACATTGGGAAAGGTGGGACATCCATTGTTGACTGACGCAAACAGGCAGTGTATTAAACATATATGCAACTTTTTCGTTCGCAATCACGAAACCAAACAAAAATATTTTTAAAAAAACATTACGACCAGTGCACGTGTGCACGTGCCCATGTATGCAAATTGTTAGGGCACTTTTCACTTTTCTTAATCCTGTGAGAAAGGCGCGATGGACAACCAAAAGCAAAGAAAACCAAAGATAAAACTACACTTAAGTCGAAGATACTCTTCTTCTTCAAGCTGTGCAAGCATGCGGAAGAGAGTGGAAAAGTGTTTTGAGTTTTATGAGAGGGCATATTGAGGTTTTGGGAGAAGCAGGTGATCAGTATTTGGCTGAAGGAAATTCCAACAAAGTGTTGCACGAGCGATTAAGGAAGAGAGCTACTAAACTGCTTAACAACGCTCTTCCTTCAAGGTAAGAATGCTGTTGACCAAAGAAGAAAGGACTCTCAATAACGGTATTATATGGAGTGGATTGATTCTTTTATTTCCTGGTAGGAATGCCAGTGAAGTCAAATAAAATAATTGATGAAGAATACTCGTCCGCATCCAGTGTAGAAGAAACTTGGAATAAAGATACTGAAGAAGTTGAAGACATTTGCAGAGCTATCAATGACCGCGAAACAAAGTATGTGTTAGATGCAGAAAAGAACGAACCAAATGACGACCCTGCTGACATCCTTACACGAATCAAGAAACAAGAGAAAGCGAGAGGATGGAAGACAGGTAATTTATAAGCAGACAGAATTACTTTGAACGCTGCTCATACCTATTTTATAATAAAACCTCGTTAATTTTGCTATTGTCCTTTAAGGAAAAGACCTCTCAATGAAAGCTCAAAGTCAAGTAAAAAGCTGAAGTCATCTAGGAACTCCCAGGTCACCACAGAGAAAAAACTGGACAGCTTATTCGAAGCAATCCCCGCCGTTCTTGATGAGGCCCAAAGTGCTGCACGAGAGCATCAGAAAGCATTAAAAAGCTGGAGGGCAGTCCATGGTCTTGACGTGACAGATTCTTCGTCAGATGAAGACTAGCACCTTATAGGCTTTATGAGTTCTGTTCACGTTATTAATAAATAGACATTAAGCATCACGTTTTTTCTGGCCGGCAGAAGCACGTTTTTGTTCTTTCCCTGTAATTTAGCTAGTACCTTTTAGAAACCTTCTCAGCAAAGACAAAGGTTATTTCATTATTTATCTATTGCTTCTTGAAAAGCTTTTCAACTTCTTTTTACTTTTTTTTCGTTTGCGTAGCACAAATGTTTGTCGAAAACACGAGATGTTTACTTAATCTCTCAAATATCTTGTTTTGTTCTGAATTTCAACGCATTGGTTATGTGCACAGCCTTTTCCACTGTAGAAGAACTAACAGAGAACTTGAATAAAATCCTGTTTTTCCCCGCAGAGGAGAGGGTACAGAGTTGGGAAGTAAGTGTTTACAGGCAGTGAACAATCTCAGTAGGCATCCACTTTTCAACTATATGTTAGCGATACGTACGTGTCCATGCAGAAGGAAAACTTCTCGAAAATAATAACCGTCGTGGTATTCTACATTATATGCTAGCATTCTTAGTCCTTTTATAAATTTAAGGGCGAGCATTTACATTAGTATATTGTAAACGCAACGTTTTTATATAAATGCGTTTCAACGGGACGAGATCTTATTCTCGAGCACACTGCTCGTCAGTTAAGCTAATAAAACAGGTAGTGTTAACGATATTAATTGTGCAATACCTTAAGTTAAATAAAACAKGTCTACTGAAAGCTGTTTCATTAGTTTATTGAATTTTCTGGTCATAACGATGATTCTAGCCTTATTCCGCTGGTTTATGCTTATTCCGCTAGTATATGCTTATTCCGCTCATATGCCGCTAAATCGGAAATGTCTCATTTGAGTATTTGGTAGAAAATTTACAGACACTTCAATGATATAAATTTTATCAAATCCTTTCGCTTGCTAATTCGCTGTTTTTAAGTATAAACAATAAGTAAAACTACTACATGACAATATTTCAGTTTTTGATTGTTTTTTTTAATTTATTTATTATTATTTTTTTTTACAGATCCTTTCTCTGCTATCATTCTTGGTTCATAAAGTGGAAGGTACGAATAAAAATAATTAAAATTATTGAATAAAAGTTTTTGCGGTCGCTTTAAGGAAGGCACATTTTTTATTGGGGAGGGGGGGATGGGTGATTCCCAGTAAGCTCTTTAATACTTGTCGTACCTCTCCTCCTTTCACTTAGTGAGAAATTCATGACCCTACTATTAAGTCGACAAGGAAACAGCTTTCGGCAAATAGACCCAAAATGGCGGCCGACAATTGAATTGAGTTAAATTAAATTAAAAAACCATACCAGCACTGAGCATAACAGCACCTTTATTTTAGTAACCTCACGAAGATTCATTATGTCAGGTGTTATATCGACCGAGAAAACTTAAGTTGAAAATTGACAGACTTTTGTATGTCTGGGGGTATAGCGTTTACCCCCAGACATACAAACGTCTGTAAATTTGTCAAATTTCAACATTTAAAAGTTTTCTCGGTCGACATATATAACACCTGACGTAAAACATTTTGGTAGGGTTACTAAAGTAAAGGTGCTCTTTCCAGTGCTGGTATTGGTCTTCACTCAGTTTGATTTTAACTCATTCGAATTTGTGGCCACCATTTTGGTAAAGGGTCTATTAAAAAAGGTTTGGACCCCGCTCCAGAAAAGTTCAATTTTTTTAAGACTCAGCACTCCCCTCGATTGATTATTTTCACGTCGGCCATGTTGGAGGAATTAAACAAAAGAATTGTCAATGGATTCTTTTGTTATATCCTCCAACATGGCCGCCGTGTCTTTTGTTATTTAATTCCCTTGAAATAAATATTATACTCTTGCGTAATTTATATTTTTAATCATTGACTTACAGGTTACAACATTCTGTGTCACTGGTCCCTCAATGGCACTGAACAAGGACTAACGTAATGGTTATTTAATATACTAGTTGTAACCTCAGGTTGAAATGCGGGAGACAGGCAGTTAAACGACTATTTGTGTAAATTCGGGGTGTTTCTTGGTGTAGAAAGTTTTATTGTATTCTAGGTTAGGATTTTTGCTTTGTAGGAAATTGTTTAGCTCCAAACTCATTTTTCTCGGCTATTGTTTTATTGTCTTCATGGCTCAGGCCCTGCAACACCAAAAAAGAGCCGTAATTTGTTTCCTGGTACCTGTGGTAGTAGGTAATACGGAATGCACAGTAAAGAGTCTTGTCAAGCATAGCTTGGCACCTTTGATGGGATTGTACTTTCCAGTCATGCATGAATTACAGCCATTCTCAATCACATCCTCTAGCGATTGTTTCTGTCGCGACAAACATGATTTTGGAGGACGTCAATCACAAGGCGTTTCCATAACATTGTCGGAAAACACAAAGCTATAAGGACACGTGCCTATAGAATGTCATGGAAACGCCTTGATTGAAGTCCATCAATAGCTTCTTCGTCGCGACAGACATAATCGCTAGAGCGGCGCATGTGATTGAAATTGGCTGTAATAGCAATTGAAAACAGAATGACTCAACCGAAATTGAGCACAAAATTCATTTTCCAATATGATATTAACCTACTAAGTAAATTCCTTTTAAGATTTCTTAGGTTCCATATTAATTTCTGGCCTTTCTAAATTCTTACAGCCTGCACGGTGGACCTACCTTTGTCGAAGGTCGTTATCCAGGAAGTAAAGCCATCAACTTCAACCAACCATCCAACTGCTTTGCACGTATCCCTAAAGTTGAACTTCGTGGAAGAAGTTTTACCATTGCAGCTTGGATTCGAGTCATGAGCTTTGAAAGACCTCAACATTTTTTCTCTGATTGGTACTCTCCATGGCAGTTTTATATAGGAATATTGACATCTGGAAACTTATACTTCCAAAGGCATTCCAACGCTCAACCGTGGTTCGGCGTGGCAACAACCGAATCTATCGAGTTCGGCAAGTGGACACACACTGCAGTGACATGGGACCAGGACGCGGGCGTCGTGAAAGTATTCATTGACGGTAGAGAATCCGGTAAAAAAGAATTTAGCACAGCAACAGTATGGAAACCACCAACTAAAGGCACGTACGAAATTGGTGATGATGGACACTCTAATAATTATCAGTTTGTTGGCTCAGTTATGGATTTGTACATTATAGAAGGAGTTCTGAACAGCGAACAACTGAACAATATGAGAGGTAAGAAATTAATAATGAAATAAAAAAATAACATGTTTCCTACCAAACATCCAGTGTATGTATATAGGTATGTTGTATTTTCGATTCTTTTCTTTACATGTTAACACAAAGTATCTCTCGACTTGCTATTCTTCCCGCTCTCTCTCTCTCTCTCTCTCTCTCTCTCTTTCTCTCTCTCTCTCTCTCTCTCTCTCGATTTCGAATTTTCACGTGCGAATATGCAAATTAAGTTCATAGTCTGTTACGTCAAGATCTTTATTCTCAGCAATGATATAACTTCAGACTTTGTAATACCATGTCATGTAGTTGAACCAATCTCCCCCATTAAGAATAATGCTCAGAGTAACACATCTTGGTCACGGCACGTCAAGCCCAGAACCTCAAAAATTTATTTGAATTAAATGTCCTCTAAGCTACAGTGCTCTTTTTCTCCAGGATTTCTACAGATCACAAGTTCTATTAACAACACAGTCGTGTTTACTAACGAGACAGTAACATGTGAAGCCGATGGCTCACCCACTCCATACGTAGCCTGGATACGCTCAGGGGTAGCGCTAGTAAACAAGACGTCTACTGCAGAGATCACCATCACTGAGAATAATGGCGAGTATATGTGTTGCATCCAACCGGGAAGGCATTAAGAAAATGATTGTCAAGGCAAAAGGTGAGATACCATATGGTTTCTTATACACTCGTACCTTTATACATAACTAGTCTTTCTGGGTCTACATTTTCAACGCGTATGCATGTCACATTCTGATAAAAAAGTATTTTTTGTAGGAGACATACAGTATAAAAAAAGTTCTATCAACAACACAGTCGTGTATACCAACGAGACAGTAACATGTGAAGCCGATGGCTCACCTACTCCATACGTGGCCTGGGTACGTCTAGGGGTAGTGCTAGTAAACAAGAAGTCTACTGCAGAGATCACCATCACTGAGAATAATGGAGAGTACGTGTGTGTTGCATCAGACCGAGAAGGCATTAAGAAATTGATTGTCAAAGCAAAAGGTGAGATCTTTCTCTAATTTTGTTTTGATGTCAGTCAAATATTATAACAAAAAATGATTCGTTGTCTGAGGAATCAGATTGAACCCAGTTTATGACAACAAGGGGGATGAGTATAAATACTAGATAACAGGATTGTTGGCCGGTTTGTAAGCAGAGGAACTCAGTTTGGTCACGTGCCTTTGAGTCAAAAAGGACGTCTGGTTTAATCAGATTTCTATAAAGCGTTTTCACGTGACGTCACAGCGGCCATTATGGGGTACCAAAACAATACATTTTCTATCCTCCGAGAATTGAACTCTGTTTTTATGCAAATACTGTGCAGAAAGTTTCTATTGTTTATGGCTGCCTTCTCATGTGAGTGAAAACGCTCTATAGCATTTTGTGGCTACTACGCTAATGCAGTAACCACTATTGCCATATATATTGTGGTCGCGCTATTTTCAAGTGGGTGAGTTTGGCACTGTATGAATGATGATGATGATGATGATGATGATGATGATGATGACTACTCACACAATTGGTTTGTTTCCACTGTAGCTCCTCTTCAACTTTGCCATGACCACCTTATCATCACTGATGTGTCCAGGGCCGTCAATCACATTTTCCAGTCCTCTCAAGTCAAGAGCGATGTCTCAGACATTGACCTTAGCAAGTGGTATCGAATACAGAGCCCAGCTGGTAATCAGTTACCAACCACGTGTGTCCCACAGAACAGATGTGGTACCCAGGCCCCTGGATGGTTGAATGGAACACTTCCAAGCGTCCAAGATGGAATCGTCAAGAAAACTGTCTGTTTTCACTTCAATGGTGACTGCTGTTATCAGAACGCCACGGTGCACATCAGAAAGTGTTTTGGATTTTACGTGTATAAGTTCAGCGCTGTACCTAAACAGTTGCCTGCACCACGACACTGCATTCAAAACGAACACATCGATACAAGAGGTAATTCAATTCATCCAATATGTGCTTTTTTCAGTTAATTAGTTCATAGCAATTAAAAGCTCTTTATAACTTCTTCAAATCCAGATTGCCCCTATTTCACTTTCGCTACGAGTGAAAACAGTCGCGAGGGTTTGGTTGGTCACGTGATGTACTCGGAAGCGGAAGTGCAGAAAGATCTAATTTGTTTGAATTATTGCATCATCTTAAATGATTGCAAGTCATTCAACTACAGCAAGGAGAAAAAGATTTGTGAGATTAACAACGCCACTCGACAAGAATACCCAGAAGCATTCGTCAAGAATGACGCATTTGCTTACTACGAGAAAATGTTTACTTCTTTTAACTAAAAAAGGGATCGCCGTTCTACTCCAAATGGTGCTGATGTGAATAGTATACAACTATTTATGTTTTTTTCTACTATTACATTTTACATCGTTATTCGAAGACGTACGATGTTCTCCCGTGCGGTCGTTTGTCATTTTTTCGTTTAACCCGGCTTCCCCAAATTCTGGAGAACAACGAGTGTCGTTTGTAATAATGCTGACATAGAACATGCCTTGGTCATCCGAGATTGCACTTGTTTCGAACTTCTTCATGGCTGCAATGTGTCAGATACCTCTGTCTCAATTTTGCAGCAACCTGCTTGATTATCAAGTTCTCGAACTCGAATAGGAAGAGATGCCAAAGTTTATGTGTCCTTGTTAATAACTGGCTTGCAAGGCTTGTTTTGATGAAATCACTGCTGCCTCTAAAGACCAGTGCCAATTTTGTGCATCCCGAATCTGATGAAAAACCGCGAAGAGCATCAGGGTTGTTGCCGTGCCGATAATGGAAGCTTTTGAAACACGCAGGAAGACCACCCGAAAAAACTTGCCACAGACTCCAAAGAAAACCCACAATAATTAGAACAACAACGAGGGTCGTATGGACGAAGTTGTCAACGAGTTGAACGTCCTAACTAAACAACTTCACAAAAAAGGACTCGGAAAGAGACGGAACTTGAAAGAACAGATTCATGCAGCAGAAGTGATGGACCGTTTTTTTCCCTGCTCTTGTTTTTCTTGACTTTATTTGTTTATTTGTATCAGTGTATTTTTCCTTTCGCCACAAGTTTCCTTAAAATAACATCAAGTACAATTGCTCTAACAGACGAGGAGGAAAACTCTTATGTATTTTGCTTCGTATTGCATTGTCGGCTTGAAGCTCAATTCCTCTCAAAAACCCCATAAAATATTAAAAACTCCAACTTTTTCCTCTTAAAATCAAAAACATTCAAACTTTCTCTAAAAGAACTCTGGAGAACACACAATTGAGATGAAAGTGGCAGCCGAAAAAAGAAAAAATTGGGATTCAATACTATGGCTTTTCTACAGAGTAGCTTAGCTCTTCATCCATTAAATTCCAATTGAAAATTAGAAGTTAATCCTGCGGAGGCAGGAAAACCGAAGTAACACCCTCGAAGCACAGAAAAGAACCAACAAACAAGTATACTCACGAACGAGATCGAGTCGTATAACTTTCATTCAATACTTGCCGGCTTTCCACATCAAACTTTTCCCAAATAAATTTGTCGTTCGTGTGGCCACCATATCCATATTTCGTAAGCTTACCTTATTTGGAAGTGAACACAGATTTCTCTTTGGTGATTTTCCCGCCATTCAAAGCTTTAAATAAAACGAAAATATGGATAAAAACCTCCAGATATATAGCGAAGAAACACTTAAGACTGTCCACCATCTTGAATTTAGCTTAGAGACCTAGCCTTTCACAAATGAAGCCCTGAACGTTTTAAAACAACAGGGATCCCGCGTGAACGACAATAGTTTAGAAAGGATTGTGGGTGAATATAAGGAAGCTCCAATATTGGAATATCCCCAGAAGGTTAGAACTCCTTCACATAGACTGAAATCAAAGCCTTCGCCAACCTTTTTTTGAAATAGCTGCATAATATGTAACTAAACCCAAAAGCTTGTGCGATTAAATTTAGAGAAAAAACAATTGTCGTCCTGCACAACCAGATAATAAAGCAGTTTTCGTATGGCTGTGAAAAAGTCGGTCCCGTATGCATGCCTTCACGCGACCGCAAAGTTTTCTAGAAGTTGATTGGTCTGGCAGCGCCGTGACGTTGTCGTGATGACCTTGTCCATGCCGTGTTCATGCCGTGTTTCGGGCATTTGATTGGATGGGGTGAATTCTCGTGCAATGTAAATTGGGTTGGCTTATGCCTTGCCGTGTCACGACCGTGTCCGTGCCGTGAGGTTATTACAGTCATACGAAAACTGTTCTATACGAATTGCCCTATTTCACTATGACGTCACTGCTTGTTTATGTGGGGGACAGAATCGCCAAATCCAATAGAAAATTCAACAAAATTTGCTCCTAGCGAAATATATTTATTACTACTAACAAACTATAAATTTTAAACGATGAAATGTTTTCGTGTCATATTCACTTTAAATATTCATTTTTCTTGAAGCAAATTAAAGTTAGAGCTACAATCCACATACACGATAATATGAAACCTAAATAGCAGATATCAATTCGAGGTAATTCCTTTGAAAGAAATTTTGCCAATAACTTTGTCCTGAAACTTTGCATGGATAAAAATTATGTTATGGACATTTAAAAACTGCAATAAAAAGATGGGGTCATCATTCTCGTTTTTTCGCTAGATGCTCTCCAAATATGTCAATTTATGGGTTTTATAGTGAAATGCGGTAGCAACCGGAAGCTGTAATCAAGAACCTTTATTCATAGTTAAAAGTACTTTCATATAACAAAACGTACTTATAACTCGAAGTTTACTAGATAATCTATACTATCAAGACCATCAAAGTCATGGGATGACTATGCTTCTTGAACTATTAGTGAAAAATGCAGGTATGTGCGCCTCTACAAACGTCCAAAAATTGCACGTCAACTATTCCCATCAAAATATTTCAAAATCTATCCAATAAACTTTCCTTCATATTTTGATATATAATGACGCACATCGCATTTATCAAAAATCCGAAATAAAAATGGGGGGTCACCATTCTCGTTTTTGATTGATCTTGGAAAAACATCTCAAAATAGTCGAAAACTGCTTTTTTCCCGAGTGGAGACTGGGACGAGTCAGATAAAAATCGTAATTTCTCTACTCAAAAAAGAGAAAAAAGTGAAAATTGGTTTTGAACATGTTTCTAATTTACTTTCCGAAAGAAATAAATCCTAAACTTAGATAGTTCCATGCTTTTAGTTGCATGTGCAGAAAAATGCGCAGTGCAAAACGACCTTAAAAATAAATCCTCTTTTATGTAAAATACTTTTATTTTGTATTTTATAATATTATATTATTCAATATATTTTTCTATACGTTTTTTTATTTTTATTTTATTTTTTATTCAATTTACGACGCTTCTACAATAGAGCGTTTTCACTCACGTGAGAAGGCAGCCATAAACAATATAAACTTTCTGCACAGTATTTGCACAAAAATAGAGTTCAATTCCCAGAGGGTAGAAAATGTATCGTTTTGGTACCCCATAATGACCGCTGTGACGTCACGTGAAAACGCTCTATAAACAAACAATACTAGTGTTTACAATTTACACATTACATACACATATTGACGCGTTATATATTACTTAAAATTATAATTAATCATAACTTCACTTTTCTAAAAAATACTAAAACAATTATTGGCCTCAGGCTCAGTGAATATCGTGGAATATAAACCGAGACGCGAGTTGAAAACGTTAATTTAAATTTATTTGTTGGAATTTGATACTACTCTTCCCAGTGGACCGAGGTAGTTGTGATATTTTAATCGCCTTCGTAGCGTCTGTTATGTTATCCGCAAGTACATTTCAAATCGACCACGTGATGACAATGTTGAACCACGAGGACAAGTTTTTTACACCACGTGATTAAAACTTGACTGAATTTTGATCACGTGGTGTAAAAAACTTGTCCTCGTGGTACAACATTGGCATCACGTGGTCGATTTGAAATGTACTTGCGGATAACATAACAGACGCTACGAAGGCGATTAAAAAATCACAACTACCTCGGTCTACTGGGAAGAGTAGTAAGGCAGCGAAATAATGGATGCATTAAATATAAAATGAATACTCAAAATTTCCCCCAATATTATTGATAGTGATAAATAATAATTTGATAAAACTGGAAGTCCCTCATCGTCTAAAGCCCCGATATCAACTTGATCATGTGACGTGATTCTCCTGATAGTAAACGATAGCAATAGTGACTTCATCAAGTCATCATCTTTGTAACCAATCAGATTAACATTAACCTGAGTGACCTTATTATACCTGAGGGATTAACCCCCTAGTATCTGTGACGTCATCGCCTGAGCGGAAAATTCTTAGTATCTGACGTCATCATCTCAATATCCAATAAGATATCTCGTAGCAGTTTCTCCCTATGTAGAACTATTTCAGCCCCATTTTTAGCTACTTACAATGCATCTCCTCAAGTGTATTTGTAGAATAAGGAAATACTGTTCAATAGAATGAAGTTGGACATTACGCTCCAGGAGAATGGGTCTATCTCGTTGGCAACATAAAAGGTTGGTTTCTGACTTACTAGTGATGGTATAGCTTCAAAGCAACAATGACCAGGGCAAAGGCAAGTATAAAGTAAATGTTAAGCTGTAAAGAGAATACCAATACTGACAGGATGGTTGTAACGACCATAGCACAGGCGATGATGATGAGTCTTGTTATGTTACTAGCGTGTTTCATTACAGCTGACATGATCAAGCCATTCATAGCCTTGAACAAACAAGAACACAACAGCATTATTAATAGTACCATGAAAGTATTAGCCCTACCCCACCCCCAGCAGTATGACATTATCATGCCATTCATAGCCTTGAACAAACAAGAACACAACAGCATTATTACTAGTACCATGACAGT